GCTGTCTAAAAGTTATGTCATATGTTCACTGGTCGCAGTATCATACACCTGTAATCCCAGGAGGTTAAAGAAAGAGGTACAAGTTCAAGGCCAGCTTCAATTTAGCAAGGCTGTCTCAAAATAAAAAAGAGGACTAGGAATGCAGCACAGTGGTAAGGTGACCCTAGGCTCAATCCCTAGTACTGCAAAAAATAAACAAAAACCTACACATATACTCAAGAGATTGTCAGACCTGGCCTGGTGGTGCACACCTGTAATTCCAGCTACTGAGGAGGCTGAGGAAGGAGGATCACAAGTTCAAATCGAGGATCAGCAACTTAGTAAGACCTTGTCTCAAATTTTAAAATAAAAATAAATTAAAAGGGCTAGGAATGTRGCTCAGTGGTAGAGTGTCCCTGCATTCAATCCCCAGTACAAAAAAAAAAAAAAAAAAAGACTGTCAGACCTAACTTTCATAATGAAGTTACATGCCAATATCTCAACACTGCAAACAAGACAGTGATTTATACACTACTTCTAGGGTCTAGATTTTTTTCATTTATGTCAAATGGTATATCCAATGAGGAGCTTTTGAATCTCATTTATTCATTCAATTCAGAATCTTCCCTGTTTCTAAGTAGTAATTATCAAATAAGGATAGTTTTTACCACCCACCAGACCCTAGGATTTAGCAATGACTGGACAATTTCTTTTGTTTGTTTGGTACCAAGGATTGAACCCAGGGGCACTTTGTTACGGAGCTTCATCCCCAGGCCTTTTTATTTTTTATTTTAAGACAATTCGCTAAGTTACTTATGGCCTCCCTATATTGCTGAGGCTGACTTGTGATCCTTCTGCCTCAGCCTCCCGAGCCACTGGGATTACAGGCCTGTGTCACTGCAATCAGCAAATGGAGACATTTTTGCTTGTATGTGAGAAGCCAAAGTGAATGCTAATGGCATCAGTAGTGCCAGAGATGCTAAATAAATATCCCACAATGCTCAGGACACACCCCTAATACAAATTTTCAGCCTAAAATGTCAATACTGTCAAGGTTAATAAACCCTGATCTATAGAAAAGTTTTTGAATACTCATCTAAGAGAGTACCAATTATACCTTTGTTTTCTATATTATTTGTTAATTACATTCTTTTAATACTATCTTTGACAACAAACTTATCCTATTCCCATCCTTTCAATCAGCTTCCAGTTTCTAAACTTGTCAATAAAATCACCATCATCCTAGTTAGCCAGGTTCAAAACCATGGTGTAACTTTTTTTTTTAATATTTATTTATTTTTTTTAGTTCTCGGCGGACACAACATCTTTGTTGGTATGTGGTGCTGAGGATCGAACCCAGGCCGCACGCATGCCAGGCGAGCGCGCTACCGCTTGAGCCACATCCCCAGCCCCATGGTGTAACTTTTTGACTCATCCCTGGTTTTTTTTTTTTTTAATATTTATTTTTTAGGTGTAGATGAACACAATACAATACCTTATTTTTATGTGATGCTGAGGATCAAACCTGGGTCCCGCCCGTGCTAGGCGAATGCTTTACCACTAAGCCACAATCCCAGACCATCATCCCTATTTTTAACAATAATATCAGTAGTAGTAGTAATAGTAGTAATGGAAGCAGCTAACACACGGTGAGCTCTTAATATATGCCAGGCACAATTCTAAGCAGTTTGAATATAGAAACTCATAATTCTAGGTATTATTATTATTATCCCCATTTTACAAATTGAGAATCAAAGGAATAAAAGTTAAATAATTTGCCCAAGGCCACACAACTGAGTCAGGTTTTAAGTCCAGGCAGAATGGCTCCAGAGTTCATGCCTTTAACAAAAACTCTGAAACAGCCTCTCTTCTTTCTTCCTCTAGATCAAATCATGAGGGCTTGAACTGTAGCTCAGTGGTGGAGTGCTTGCCTAGCATGTGCTAGGCACCAGCTCGATTCTCAGCACCACATATAAATAAAATAAAGGTCCATCAACAACTAAAGAAATACTTTTTTTTAAATCATGAAGGTAAGGATTCTGTTATGGTTTACAACATCATCTCCAGAGCCCAGTAAATAGATAAATGAATGAATTGTCCCCTGAACTACACACCTCCTGTATCCACTGCTTCCAAATCCACTGCCTTCAACAAGGTCAGCATTTTATACTTGGGTCTATTGAGAGCTCTTATAAACTAGCCAATCAGTAAAACTGATAAAAACTCCAGATTTCCCATAACCCAGTCCAATTGAGCTATTCAAAGTTTTCTTCCTACTACTTCTCAATTAGAACCATAAAATTGTAAAGAAGCAAAAGGCATCTATTAGATAAAGAAATTCAATGATGGTGACTAAGTCATCCAGCCAGGTAGAGACAAAATCTGAACTTGACACTTTCAATTTTTGTTCTCTGATTTTGTTTCCACCAACTCATAGGTTATTCACTCCTGACAGATGTTTCTCCTCACTATCCCATCAACAAATTAGGTCCATTCCCATTGTTCCTGTTCAAGATGTTTCTCCTGCCCAGCCTGCCCTCTTTTTCCTGCTCCACAGATCCAAATCCTGTCCATCCTTCAAAATCTCTTTGTATTCCATTCTTCACGACTTCCTCCTTTTCTGAAAATCTTATGTCCTGAATAAGACACCAGAGGAACAAGATCACTGTCGCCCACTTGGTCAAGTTTAATGCATAGTAACACTTTCTATAATGAAGCAAAGGATGACTTTTTCCCTAAAAACTATTAATTCATTTTTTCTTGTGTTTTTAGGAAGTGACTTCAATAAAGACTAACTCATCTAGCACCCACATAAAATATTCAGATATTTTATGAAGGAATGCTGGAGCACATCTTTAATATTAGACATGTAAAACTTGGATGGCACCAAACCACCTATAACTCCTCCATTACAAAACAGCAGTTTAGGCCAGGCATGGTGGTGCTCTCCTGTAATTCAGCGACTTAGGAGGCTGAGGCAGGAAAATCACAAGTTTGGGGCCTGCCTCAGCAACCTGGTAAGACCCTGTCCCCAAAATAAAAATAGAGAAAGGGTTGGGGATAAAGTGCCCCTGGGTTCAATCTCCAGTACAAAAAAAGAAACAACAGATTATTTATTTAGAAGTTTAAATACTTCTGACTACAGAATTTTCTGGCACAACTCACCTGGTAGCCATAGATTCTCAGACTCATCTCTCTTTGCATGGTACCACCCATCATTACATCCTCCAAAATTTCATTTCTAATGAATAGTTCACACTGTTTTTCTTCTTCCCTAACCTGTGTAGTATAGAACACCCTGCCTCCTTTAGTCTTTATTTTCTATATGCATCCTCACTGAAACTCCAATTTGCTACTTCTCATCCAATTTCAATTATCAGTCCTTTCTATAGAAGTCATATCTATATCTCCAGCCCCCCCTTAGGTTTTGGGGTACCTACCCATAAAGGTCAATTTTGTTTTCTCCCCTCCACTACTCTTCCATCCTCTAGAAAAGTGGTCTCAAAAGTATTGTTGAAAACATGCAAAAGGATCCACTGAATTGCGGGGGTGGGGGGGGGAACAGACTTTTTCTCTTTTTTTGAAGTACTAAGGCGTGAACTTCATGCGTGCCCATCAAGCGTCTGCTACTGAGCTACATTCTCAGTCCTTTTTTGTACCTTTATTTAAGACAGGATCTCACTAAGTTGCCCAGGCTGGCTTTGAACACACAACCCTCCTGCCTCAGCCTCCAGRGTAGCTGGGATTACAGGCATGCACCACCAAATCTGGCCTTAAAACTCTTTAGTTCTCTTGTTATTCATAGTAGTGGTGCTGGGGTTTGAACCCAGGGCCTCTCACATGTTAAGCATGCACTCTACCACTGAGCTGCACCCCCAGGTCTATACTTATTTTTTTTCTTTTTTGGCACTGAGGATTGAACCCAAGAACACTTTAGCACTGAGCTACATCACCAATCCTTTTTTATTTTGAGACAGGTTCTTGCTAGGTTGCTGAGAGCCTCAATAAATTAGAGGCTAGCCTCGCACTTGTGATCCTTCTACTTAAAGTCTCCTCAGTCACTGGGATTAAAGGCATGCACCACTGCAACTAGCCATCTCATTCTATATTCCTCTAAATGTTTATAAGTTATGTAATATATAATGAAAACACAAATTATTAGAGAGCATGCTCTAATTTTTGCTAAGACTGTATGACATAAGTGTTTGGAGACACTCTTCTAAAAATACAGAAATAAGGCAAAATAGGTCCCAGATTACATAGAGAATATATGCGTGTATGTATGTACATGCATACACACACATACAGACACACAAACTCTTGTTCACAGCCACAAAACCCAAACCATGCCCACCAACTCACAGCCCCTGCCAACCATATCAGAATCATGTGTCCTACTCGAAGGCGCACAACATGTGTATGGTCTGGAAAAGCCCTTCATTTCTAGTTTGAAATGCAAAACAAAAATGTCAAGAATGATGAGATGCTTCCCTTACTTTTCCTACAGAAGGATATGTCAGGGCACTGTTCACAGTTCACCACTCTGACGCTGCTCATTGCCTGATTTCTACACATAACCTTATATGCCACAATCTCCTCTAAGATTCAGTCCTATTCCCCAATCCCTTGGGGCACAACTCCGCCTCCCATCGCTAACAACCGGTTTACCCTCCCATCTCCCAGACTCATCTCCTACCTCCCTTGCCTTTCCCTCCCCCGGGGATACCATCCACTGTCCTCCAGCTCCACCGCCCCCGTCCCACGGTAGAGGACAGTCCATACACGGTGCCTAAGCCCACGGCTCTCCTCCGCCCCCAGGAGCTGCCAGCCAGGCTGGAGACGGGAGGGGGAGGGGTGTGACTCGCCTCCCGTGACTGGCCCAGATGGCAGCGGATTCCGCCCCCTCTCTCAGGCACCCCTCCACCCCTGAACCCCCAGGGCTGCCTGTCCGCCTCCCACCCCGCCCCGACCCCACCCCCGGCCTCCCCCACGCCCTCGCGTCGGCTCCCGGACACACTCACCATGCTGGGTGAAGATATTGAAGCCGGTCTCCGTGGTGCGCCCCGCCGGGTCCCGCCTGCGGCCCGAGGGCCTGGCTGCACTGCTGCCCCGAATCCCGCGCGGCTGGGGCTGCTGGAGCCCCGGAGCCTCCCCGACGCGGCCCACCTGCTGCCCCATCCCTGCTCTTGCGTACTCCCGCGCCCCCGCCGACCCCTGGTCACATTCCTCTTCGGCTCCGGCCTCGGGCTCCAGGCGCGGCTCCGGCCTCTCCCGCCCAGCCCAGACCCGGGGCCGGGCCGCCGGCGGCTCCGCGCCGGGACTCCTCACGGCAGCCGCCGCGCTACCTCTCGGCTACTCACAGATTCTCCTTCTCCCTCCCCCTCCGGCGGCTCCGCGCCCCCAACGCCGCCGCCGCCATCTTTAAACCACCGAGCACTGGGCGAGCGTGGGACAGAGCGTCCCCCGCCCGCCCAGTCACCGCCGCTACCCGGAGGGCGGGCCTCCCGCCGGCCCCGCCCCCGAGACTGCCGCGCTGGGGGCGCCCGGGGCCCACCTCGTCCGCTTGTCTGCGGCGGCCGAGAGCTACGGGTCTCTGGGTCCCTCAGCCTCCCACGTCCGAATCTGCCTTAGCCGACCCACGTCCAGCTGCACAACCTACAGCCTTTCGGGGTTGGATGGTYTCTGGCCTGCCCTGTCCCACCTCCACCTGTCAAATCAGAGCAGGGCTGAGTGCCCACCACGTGCGCATCTCCGTAGCAAACACAGCTGGGGTTTTAGAAGCCTGAGCTTCTCCGCGGTACAACCGGGATCCCTCAGATACCCAAGAGGATCTCTTTAAACACCATTGTTGGTAGCAGACCTAGAGTCAAACTAAAATTGTATGAAATGCACAAGAAGATAGTACGGTGCTACATTATTATTTTATGCTGGAAATTGAACCCAAGAGGAGCTACAGCTGAGCTACATTCCCAGTATTTCATTTTTCATTTTTGAGAAAAGGGCTCCCTAAATTACTAAGGCTGGCCTTGAACTTGCGGTCCTCTTGCCTTAGCCTCCCAGAGTCAGTGGGATTACAGGCTGATGCCAAGGCTCCTGGTTAGTTTTAATTGTTTTGATATTAGTTCTTGATGTTAAATTGCAATTGTCTGGGTATGTGCACTCTACAGTCTCATTGGCAAAGCAATTGCAGTCCATTTCCTCATATTACCATGAATCCCTTTTTAAACTGCTTTACCATGTCTCTAACCACTATTTCTGTCTCCCTTACCATACTGGACAGTAAAATTAATCTTCCTACTGGTATGCTTTACTTATTGTACACGTGGTCAGGCCTTCTTTTGAYAGCAAAGGAGAGAAAAATACATATCTGTGTTTTTGAGTCAGAACTCACCCATCGTTATCTTAATATCATCTAAAGGGAGTGAATTAGGTAGAAGTGATTTTTATACACACACTTCCTGGTATGCAATTCACTCACCATCCTTCTTCCGCTGTGCATTCTTGTATCTAAATAGCCATCCAGGTTTTTAAATTTTCAACTTGAGATAGAGAGAAAGGATGGGAGRGGAGGGGAGGAGTAGGGGGGATACGAAGGGCAGCATAATAGAATAGACAATATGATTGATGTATGTACATTCCATGTATGTATTATATGTCAAAATACATTCTGCTGTCATGTATGACTAAAAAAATAAAAATAAATCATATGGTAAAAAAAAATTCAACTTGATAATGATTAGTCTCCCACTATTCTTTTAGCTTCCCTGTTTGCTTTATTAAAATTACCGGTTACTGGAAGTACCACGTGATTTTTTTTTTTTTTTTTTTTTTTTTTTGCCTAAAATTAAAGAGAATGGAGCTGGAGAAGATGGTACATGCCTGTAATCTCAGTTACTCTGGAAGCTGAGGCAGGAAGACTGGAAGTTCAAGGGCAGTCTGGGCAACCTAGCCAGACCCTGTCTCAAAAAATAAAAAAGCCTGGGGATATATCTCAGTGTTGGAGTGCCCTGGATTCATTCCCCAATACCAGAATGGAAAAAAAAAAAAAAAAAAAAAAGGATAGAAGTCACTCCAAAGAAGGGCCAAACAACCCCTGAGAGGATAGGTTTGGGGGATGAGGTGGATGTAGCTCTCCTTTACCTGATTTTCATGGGACCCTGCTGACTTGAGATGAAGTGGCATGGGTATTTTCTATTATAAGAGCACTTTGAAAACACTACATTGTCAAAAAGAAAAGAAAATATTCTACTTCCATCCAGGTATGACCAGAAATAACTGAATTTACCCCCAAAATGGGAAAATGGGAACAGAGGCACTATGTCTTAGTACTGGATAGAACCTGAATTTTCATTTGGATACAATTCCTGTGGTTTTTTTTGTTTTGTTTTGTCTTTTTTGCTGCGGGCAGTGGTGCAAGCCTGTAAGTCCCAGCTACTGGTGAGGTTAAAGCAAAAGGATTACTTGAGTCCAAGAGTTCAAAGCCAACTTGGACAACATAGAAAGACACTGTCTCAAATAAATAAGTAAATAAAATACTTTCTTTTAAGTCTAATGGTTTGCAACTACTGAAAAAAATCAATCACAAGGGATAAAGATGATTATAGATGAGAATTTGGTTTATTGTCTGATTTTTGTTATCTGAGAGATTCAACATTGGGATAATGGTTTGGTTTTTCTGCTAATTCATACAAGACATGTAATAATAGGTGAGTATAATATAGTGCAGTGGTTGAGGGCAGGGACTGTGAAGGTAGATTGCTTCAATTTAAAACTCGACTCTGATATTTATTAGCTTTTGATCTTGAACAAAGTACTTAACCTTTTGTGTCCCAATTCATCTATAACATGATGACCATAAATAGTACCTACTTTACAGGGCTATTATGAGGATTAAAGTAGTTAATAAATATAAAGTACTTAAAGCCAAGTTTGTGATGGTGCATGCCTGTAGTCCCAGCAACTTGGGAGGCTGAGATAGGAGTATCGAAAGTTCTAGGCCAGCCTCATCAACTTAGTGTTTCACTACATTACCGAGGGCCTTGCTATCTCAAAATAAAAAATAAAAAAGACTAGGGGTATAATTCAGTGGTAGAACTCTCCTCAGTTTTATCCCCAGTATAAAAAAAAATAGTATTATTTTATATTGGCATATAAAAGTGTCATATAAGCATATACTATTAGTACAAAAAATGTAATAATGTTTCCCAGGGTCCATTAACTTTCACAAGATTGACTTTTTCCAGTAGTATATACTTACATACTTTGTATATACAAATTCTGCAATATTTTTTTCAGGTGAGCCCCCTCCACCTGCTACTCTGCATGTACTTAAAAACAAAAACACCAACCAACCAATGAAAAGGTGAGGAATCATATATCCCTCATTAGTATTCATTCCTACCTGGTATCACCAGGCTACCAGCAAGTGAATCATTACATAACACTTTGGTTTTGCATATATAGATTCCCCTACTTGAGATCCTATCTAAACTGAAGCAAATATCCTCTAAGTGGAGACTTACAAAACATGTATGATCTTGTAAAATATTTTCCACTCTATTTTCAAAGTGACATGGGAGGCTGGGTCTGTAGCTCAATGGAAGAGCATTTGCCTATCATGTGTGARGCACTGGGTTTGATCTTTAGACTGCATAAAAATAAATACATAAAATAAAAGTTAATCTACAACTAAAAAAGAGTGACATAGAACCTTTCAGAATGGAGAATAGGGGGCTAAACTAGAGAAATGTGTGGGAAACTACCTCCCTTCAACATAACCAAACCAAAATGACTTGCCTGTGAATTAATTAGGGTTCTTTATCATAAGCAATGGTCGCTGCCCCACCTCAACATTTAAAACAATTCCAAGTAGTACCACCTCAACCTGAATTGAAGGCAGCTGGGAGCTCAGGGCATGGGCAGAAACCAGGGGAAGAAAAGTGATAGAGGCCTGGGGGTGTAACTCAGTGGTAGAGTGCTTGCCCAGCATGAGTGAGGCTCTGGGTTCCATCCCTAGCGCCAGAAAGTAAATAAGTAAATAAAAAGAAGAATAAAATAGCAGGGATAAACAGGCAGGTGTGGTGGCACCTGCCGGTAAACCCCACAACTTGGGAGGCTGAGGCAGGTGGATTGAAAGTTCAAAGCCAGCCTTAGCAAGGCCCTAAGCAACTTAGTAAGACCCTGTCTCAAATATAAAAGAAAAACAGGTGGTGGTGGCTAGGAATGTAGTACCACCTCAACCTGAATTGAAGGCAGCTGGGAGCTCAGGGCATGGGCAGAAACCAGGGGAAGAAAAGTGATAGAGGCCTGGGGAATGTGGTTCAGTGGTAAAGCACCTCTGGGTTCAATCCCCAGTACCAAAAAAGAAAGGAAGAAAGTAGTAGGGATGGTGCCTTTTGCCTGAGGAAAGTTTCAGTTGCTCAGGATGCTCAGGATCAATCAGTAGGCCTCATTCTGAGAAGTCTCTTTTAGCCAAGTTTCAGTTGCTCAGGAACCTCATTGTCCCTATAATAGGAGCCATGACCACACTTTCCAGAAGCAGGGAGCTTGTGAGCAATCCGCACTGACTCCTGTCTTCACAAGTCTGCATTTCCAGGAGATTGCCATATTTTCACAGTATCTCCCGTATCTGCCTCCTCTCTACCTCTGTGTGGACCCTGCCATGCAGGACACTGTCTCCCGTCATTTCTCTGCAGGCCTTTCTTTCTAGATTCCTCACCTTTGGCATCAAGCAATTCTCTTCACAGAAACGCTATCTTTCTCTCATTCCTTTGACCTTGTTCCTCCTCCCTTCATTACGTACAAAACCTAAAATTTTCACCTAATGTTTCAAAGTTATTTTCCAAAATTCCCTTGTTTGTAACTGCATAATGTTCTTTATCTCCTCTTTCTCCACCCAGACCCCTTCCTGTGGTAGATATACATGCTTCATTAGTAAGCCTCATTCTGAGAAGTCTCCTTTGTGGCCATAACTTATGTAATGATTCTGTTTTCCTCAAAATGACTCCTGAGTGCCTCCCCTTACAGTAGCCAGGATTCCACTTAGATCCCACCTTCCTCATAAGAGAATCTCAGAAGTATCAATTGAGAACCAACAATTTCCTGGGACTCCAGAGCCCATACCTAAAACAACCACAGCTGCTAACAATTCTTTGCCTACAGAATTCATTTACCTTCCTCTACATCCCCCAAATGTGTTTAATTTTTGACACTCAGCTCAGTATCATTGGGTTGGAAAGAAACTGGTAATCTACTCCAATTTCCTGGAATCTGCTCTATGGTAATTCTAGTGAGGGAGTCGATGTATTTTGAAGAGGTCTAATTATTTTAAAAGTTCTTCCTAAAGATAAACTGAAATGTGTCCCCTTGAAACTTGCTCGTGTTTTACCCTGGTCCTAGTTCCATTG